TAATAATAATAATTTATTTATAATTTATGTTCCTAACAAAAAGTCCAAGGATCTTTTCCTAGGGTGTTGAGGTGGGTTCAGAAAGCCAGAATGGAGGAATGGAGAACTTTTTATTTTCTTGGAGATCTTTGTGTGCTATAAAGTAACTGTTTACATATATGAATTACATCTATTAAAATGACGATGTTTAGCTCTATTTGTATGATCACAACACAAGAAAAGGAGGATGACAGATGCTCTTCAGAAAGCACTACATGAGAATCTCTGTCTCTCGCTCTGTCTGCAGGAGCTGGCTGAGCTGCAGGCACAGATCCAGGGCCAGCAGGTGCAGGTGGATATGGACATGGCCAAACCTGATCTGACAGCTGCTCTGAGAGACGTCCGACTGCAGTATGAGAACCTGGCAACCAAAAACATCCAGGAGTCGGAGGATTGGTACAAATCCAAGGTATTTAACATGAGCCTTTTCACCAGGGCTTTCCTCTATTCATCAACATTTATTCTCCTCTCCGGGTTCTTTGTTAGCTCTGTCTTGCTTCTCATTTTTTCTACAAGTCATAATTTTCAGATGAGCAAGTTCTGCTTTTAACTTTCATGTAAGGGATTAAATAATGGGCCGTTATTCATTAAAATCACTTTTATGTTTAGTCACTTTTAGTTTAGTTCTTCTTCTTGTTTACAACCTCTGCCTATACCTTTGTTAACTTGTGTCTTCCTTCACTGTCAGTTTGCGGACCTGACGGAAGCGGCTAACAAGAGTAATGAAGCTCTGCGATTGGCCAAGCAGGAGGCCAATGAGTACCGGCGTCAGGTGCAGGCGCTCACCTGCGAGGTGGACGCGCTCAAGGGAACCGTAAGCACTTACATTTACCTGTTAGACTTATTCTTTGGTCAGAAATGTGATGACTGGGACTGTAACAACAAACCTCAGCACTCAAGGGGGCTATAGAGTTTCCTCAAATGCCTGTGCCATGAAATGGGTTATTATTCAGGCAGCTAGCTATAAACATGACAAACTGATAATTTAACTAACCTTTCTCTTCAAACAGATGCTGAATCCATGATAGTAGTTCACTTGAAAGAGAAAACTGACTGTAGAAGAAGATCTTTAACCCACTTACCATATATATATATATATATATATATATACTCATTAAGCCTGTCAACATCTTATCTGACAGATACTGAATCTGGACAGCGTGTTTTTCTCAGGCACTCTTTACTTAAACTGCATATGAGCTTTCATGCACATCTCTTAAAATAAAAGTCTTGCATCAGAAAAACATTAAGAATTACTAAGTTTTTGTTGTTAATGTTGTTTCTTTGGCCATACACTCCGCGACCCACCAGTTGAGAAACACTGGTTTACACTGCTATAGTGCCTCTTGTGGCAATGCTTAGAATAAATAATGAATTGAGCTCAGACAAATTTTATGACAAATTATATGAGCAACAAATTATAAACAACAAATATAAATACAAATATTGAAGTGATTAGAAACATATTTTAGGACTATTAACGTTTATTTTATTTTATCTATCTGTCTATCTATCTTCATTTTCTGAATAACAATAAAAAATGTAATATTTCAAATATTATTCTGGATAGAAACATATTTTATTTTGAGGTTGTGACCCAGACATGTTTATAGACATATTCTATAGTACATAGTTTTTTTTATTATTTATTTAACTTTTTGCATGGAACTAATATTTAATATTTGTAGGAACAGACCTGTAACAAGTTGGACAAAGTGTTTATTGTAATTCAATCATAGATTAATTTGTTAATACTGAATCTGAGACAATTTGTCTGTAGGTGTAGAAGAGCCTGATATTCCATGACTACCATAACATTACATCCACGTGTCCCTAAATCATTTTCTTTATATAAATAATGCAGAATGAGTCTCTGGAGCGTCAGATGAGGGAGATAGAGGAGAACTTTGCAATGGAGTCGTCGAGTTCCCAGGACAATATTGCTCAGCTGGAGGAGGACATACGGAACATGAAGGACGAGATGGCAAAACATCTGCGTGAGTATCAGGATCTGCTCAGCGTCAAGATGGCCCTGGACATCGAGATCGCCACCTACAGGAAGCTTCTGGAGGGGGAGGAGAGCAGGTGAACACTTTTAGTACATTAGAGCTCGATTCATTTATTGAGATGCTGCCGTTTCATGGACATGGTTTATTTTTGGGTTGAAACAACATGTTATGTTTTATAAAATAATTTGACACTTTATTCTCTTGGATGTAGAATTTCAACCCCTCTTCCAAACTTCTCTTCCTTCAGTCTGAGAGGTAAGACATCAAGTCACCAATACATATCATAATGAAACATATAAAAATATGTCTGTACAGATTCATTGAAGATAATCTTGCATTTTGACAGAAACGATGCTGGAGTCCAAGCCTGTCATTGAAAATACATTTACTAAGAAAGTTCTTATTAAGACCATTGAGAGCAGAGATGGACAGGTATGTGTTTGACTTACCACAACCACAGTATTTTCACACAGTCTTACAATTATTAAGAAGTTAAACGTTTTGAAACTACACTGAGTGTATCACTTAATTATTTTACAAAAACATGTCCAGGTCACAACATACAGTTCATACATACTTAAATACATGAATGAATCAATAAATTAATGCTAATTTTCCTGTTTAATATATATATATATATTTAATCGTTCAGAAAATTAAGCATGTGATAGGATCATGTTTTTGCAGTGTGACATTATTTTATTGACAATTAAGCACATTTCCCCCAAAATCTAATTATGTTATGCTAAGTAAAAAGGTTTGAAACAACAAAATACTTACCAGGTCACAACTCCAAACTAAACTAAACTAAAAAATGAAGTAAATCTTTTTACTTAGAAAATGAAGCATATGATAGGATTAATTTGCATTGTGCAAATTGTGAATTTTGCACAATTATGCACTTTCCCCCAGATTTTATTGTTTTATTTATCTTTTGATAATTGACATCTCTATGATCTCTATGACTCCCTACAATTTACAATAATAAGGTTTCTAGAGTGAACCTGAAATAAATCTAATCTAATTTTAAGTCTATGATTTCATTTGGGTCTCTCATGAACACTTCCACTCTTCTCTTCCATTAAGGTGATCAATGAGTCCACTCAGAACCACGATGACCTGGAGTGATGAAGGAAATCTACTGTTATCATCCACCGCAAGCAACCAACTGCAGCACCTTTCAACTAAATCTAATGTGAACTACACACAATAACCTGCTTCAAAGTGCCTTTAAATCTGCCAAAAGATACAAGTATTGTTGAAGAAATGTAGTGATAACACACAAGCAAAGAAACAGCATGACCTTTAGCGTACTGTGAATCTTTTTTATTATCTGAACCTGCATTTATCTTCTAAATAGCATTTTTGAGCCAATGTGATTTTGTTTAAGCAAAATGCTTCAATAAAAACAATGAAAGAAGGGGTTGTATTCACAAAGAACCTCATTCTTTGTCTGAATGTTCTTCCATGGGCTATTATTATTATTGTGGTTAATTTGCAAAAAAACTAATTTAATTTTTTTTACAAAGTAAAACAGTAAAAACCTCAATATCAAAAATCCTAAATCCAAAAAGAATATTTAAATGATTCCATTTTACACAAAGGTCTCTCATTTCTTGGGTTTGAAGCCCATCACTGTCATCTTGTGGACCAGAAAATAAGTGCACCCTCAAGTTTAAGTGTTTTAATGGCTAAACAAGGTGCTTCTCTTAGTGAGGAGCATCCGTGTCCCCTATCAGTGGTTCATGTGGGACCGGATGTGTGTTCCTGTCTGTTTGTTGCAGTGATGGAGATTTGTACTCCCTGGACACGAGTGTTTCTGTTCCTGTTCACTCCCAGGGAAGCACACCGAGTGCTCATGTCGTGTGTTTGGTGTCATAACCCAATGGCATTTTTAAAGGAATAGCTCACCTAAAAATCATTTACCCCATGTCATTACAAATGCATATGACTGTCTTTCTTCTGTGTAATACAAAAGGAGAATTTTAAAAGAATGTTCATGGTACATATTAACTCAGAGAGAGAAGATAGTGATTAAAGGGCTGTCAAGCTACAAAAAAGTAGTCCATACAACTCATCCACTACATTTTGAGTCGTCCAAAGCCATACAATTGCTTTGAGTGATGGACAAACTGAATTTTAAGTTGCCATGTTCTACAATCTACCCATTTGTCAAATCATTTATCATTTACACTCGTTTTCACTTATTCATACGTCAGTTATTTCAGACAACGGGTACTCATGCATGCTCTGGCCAATTGAAGCAAACTTGAATTGTTTTACTTTTAAAAAATACATATAAGTGCAACTTAGGCCAGCGACAAACTAGCTATCAGCTGATCACACCAGTTTAAGGTGGTCAGCTTGGTTAGTAACATACTGGTCAACCAGCTACTCATTAGTAAATGGATCTCTTATGACCAGTAATAGCTAGAAACCAGCTATCAAACTGGATTTTGCATCAAGGATGAGAAAGAAAATAGAGAAATACGGTTGCTACCAGTGTTGGGGAAAGTTACTTTTACAAATAATGCATTCCAATATTGCGTCACTCCCTGAAAAAGTAACTGTGTTACTTAGTAAAAGTAACTCAGATATTTTCCTTGTAAACTAAAAAGTAATCCGTTACTATACTAGTCATTTGAAAAAGTAATCTGATTACGTAACTCGCGTTACTTGCGTTACCCTCAACCCTGGTTGCTACGTCATGAAATGAAAACTAAATTTGATATAGCCTATTTCTGATACATTTTTTGAAATAATTTTTTTTTTCTAAAAGCAAAACTGTAGGGCTATAAACGTACATACTGAACTAACGGATAGGCTAATGTTGATTTCCAATGTTAAACCTCTTTATAGGCTATTATTTCTTTTTAATTGTGAAAGTAATTGTATATTCGCAGCTTGCCAGTGTCGGATTTCATTAATGTGAAACAAATTGACAGACTAATTACAGATGCTTGTTTTTAACGCTCTCGACCCCAGAGACTCGTGTTTGCCAAACTAACTTTATTCATGTGAGGGACGGCTTCTCTTGGGAAAGCGCTGGAGATTTCCGCTGGTTTTCGTCGTTTCCAGCTGACAAAATGACTTCCAGATAGACCGAGCCGAATGCGAGGAAAGTGGATCAGCACATGTTTACCGCTCAGAGGACACGGTTTGTTTAGTAGCCTATATCATTTAATGAGGACGCCACAGCAATGACAGAGTCTGAATCCGAGTCATGGAGTGTGTTACAGTGTTTCCAGAGCAGACGGTCAGTCAGCTGAAGGCTGTTTGGCAGAGATGGGCTCAGTGACCTCAGCTTTCAGCAGGTCTCGCAACACGTTGGTCAAAGTGGGTTCGGAGCCGCAGAAAGATCCGGACGGGAAAACGCGGAGTGGGTCCGGTGTGATGGCAAAGCAAACTAGCAAACAACCGCTGGAGCGGAAAACAACCGGCGCCTCCAGAGCAAACACGCCACAAACTCCTGCGTCTGCTACAGGTGAGTTTCTGTCAGCTTCTGTCATCATTCATATCCGTATGAAGGTGGATTTAGAGAGTGGATTAAAGCATACAAAGCGGAAATGGTTCGAGTTATGTTTTTGTTATAATTGTTTTGTTTAATTACAGCAGCCCCAAAAGTAGAACTAGCCTACTTGGAGTCTTAAAGGGATAATTCACCCAAAAATGAAAACGTGATGTTTATCTGCTTACCCTCAGAGCATCCAAGATGTAGGTGACTTTGTTTCTTCAGTAGAACACATTTGATGATTTTTAACTCCAGCCGTTGCAGTCTGTCAGTCGTATAATGCATGGCAATGGTAACAAAATCTATGAGAGTAAAAAAAAACATGCACAGACAGATCCAAATTAAACCCTGCGGCTCGTGACGACACATTGATGTCCTAAGACACGAAACGTTCGGTTTTTGCCAGAAACCGAACAGTATTTAAATCATTTTTGACCTCTAATACACCACTATGTCCAACTGTCTTTGGGCGCGCGCACGGCATCCGGTGCGTGAGGTGTGTACGCGCTCTGGCGTAGTTTACACAAGCGCCGGAAGTGATCTCTCGCGGGTATACGTCACTCATTGTTTACACAGTGCACAAACATTGTAGGTACGACGGCTAATCAAAATGGTACTTACTTGCGCTTATCCGGATTGTTCAAACCGACTTAAAACTAAAAGATTACGTTCTCTCGCGCGAACTCATTCGGGAGTGGTGACTTTCCACGTATTCCCAACTTCTGAGCCTGCTCGCCTGAAGTTATGGTTGATTGCTCTTCGGCTGGATATCAACACGCCCATTAACGTAAACTACGCCAGAGCGTGTACACACCTCATGCACCGGATCGTGCACGCGCCCTAAGACAGTTGGACAGTGGTGTATTAGAGGTAAAAAATGATATAAATACTGTTCGGTTTCTGGCACAAACCAATCGTTTCGTGTCTTAGGACATCAATGTGTCGTCACGAGCCGCAGGGTTTAATTTGGATTTGTCTGTGCATGTTTTTTTTACTCTCATAGATTTTGTTACCATTGCCATGCATTATACGACTGATAGACTGCAACAGCTGGAGGTAAAAATCATCAAATGTGTTCTACTGAATAAACAAAGTCACCTACATCTTGGATGCTCTTGAGGGTAAGCAGATAAACATTAAATTTTCATTTTTAGATGAACTATCCCTTTAAGACATTTATAAAGGTCATTGCATTACATATCAAAATATCAAACCAAAACAAAATGGAATTCTTCCAAAAGAGTTGTTCACCCAGGTTTTGCAATTACTTTTAGGGTCACGTGACGGTTAGGCTTATTGTTTGGTCATTGACAGAACAGTTTGGCTAATATCATGTCTGACATGTAACTGTGAAAATTCTTATAGGCTGAAATAGTTTTTTTTTCTTTTTCTTTTTCTTTTTAATAAATAGTGAAATTTAATATATATTTAGAATATTCAGAAAACAATTCGTACCAAAATGACTTTTTACACTGAAAATATTTTCAATTTATGAAAGATTTAATTTGTGAGACTTAAAGTGTATATATATGTGTGCTTTAATAAAGGCTTTTGAAGACTTAAAGTTATTTAAAAATAATACATAAATCATATATTAAAGCTGCAGTCCGTAACTTTTTTTGGTTAAAAATGATCCGAAATCAATATTTGAGCAAGTACATAACCAGCCAGTGTTCAAAACTATCGCCTTACTTTAGCCCGATTCACAACGGTCAGCTTATAATAATGTTTTCTAATTTGAGTGGTACAGGTAGGTTTTCGCGGGAAGAAATTCGAGCGTGGCGCTGCGTCATTACGTCACGTCTGTAAACATAAAGAAGTTGTCCCGGCTACATGTGAGGATCCTGCAGGTGGCCGATCGTTTATAGCCTTTTCTCACAGCAGCTAGAATAATTAAATTTATCATTTTGATGGCGGATTGTAATCCAGAAAGGATTGTGCGTTTATGAAACGCATGTGAATTAAATTATATTCCAATTATAAATGTGCTTCTGATTACAGATAGCCTGGGATTACAAAGATTTGTATTTTAAAGACAACCAGTTCGAAGGGAGCATAATTTGCTTTTTGGGTTAAAATAATTTCTTAATATGAAATTCGAATAGTATGACAATTAGAGATTAGACTGTACAGAAATCTACTCGCTTATACACACTTTACTCATAGTCACGCAATGCTGAAGTTGTTAAAATTAATCATTTGAGAATAAAGTACAACAATAATAATTTGCATGGTATGATGTGATATGAGCTAACCGATCTTTAGATTTAATCACTATTGTAGCACGATTTATTGTAATGCTGTTTTTCCTCAGTTGGTCAGAACAAACGTAGCAGACTTGTTACTTGTTCAGATGGCAATATACAGTGAAAATTCTTATTTGGGTCAAAAATCCCAAGATTTAGGCTAGAATCTGTGATTGCGAAGTACAGTAAATATCCACACCGGTGCGGTGACTGACTGCCACACACACACATACTCCTCAAAACATTAGATTCATCCGCGCTGGAGCCGTGCCGCCGCACAACCCACGCAAGCTAGATAATTCCACAAACAGCTGCAATTGCAGGTTTTCAAACAGAGATGGCGGGCAAAACTTGCGGACTGCAGCTTTAAATAAGCAGTTCATTTAAAAAAAAATATTATCAATGATACTTTCAAAAAGTACTTTATTAATGGTCAAGAATTGAGTTCTTCATCAACTGCGATACATGCTCTGACACAATTTTGGACGCTTGTGTGACAAGGTCAATACGTTGTTGACCTTTGACCTTCTCTGAAAAAGCATGTTGAAAATGTGTGGCTAATCATGACTCAAAAATGACTGATTTATGTTTGTAATTTAGTAAAAATATTTTTTATTCATTTATTTGTTTTTGTGAAAATAAGATTGTTATACAAGTTATGATTGGCTATCTTAATAATTTTTTTATCAACATTAATATATTTTTAAGTGAGCTCAAGTGTCCAGATCCTCTTTTGGGGTTCACTGTATTAATCTGCCTCTATTATGTAATTGTGGAATTGAAGCGCATGCCTTCATGAGACGGGTGGGAAACAGGTGTCTGCTCATTTTGGGTCAAAAATGGGGGTGATAGCGGCCATTTATCTGCACATTAGAGAGTTCAGGCACTTCTGCGGAACAGATGAGAAAAACGCTTCATAATGGGATGATCAATGATGTGCCGCTGCGATTCTTTTGAAGGGTCCAGATCCGTGTTTGAACTCTTTGATGTTAGAATAACAGTCCTCATGATGCTTTATATAGCACAAGTGTTTTTCAGAGATGGATTTTTACACAAGTCTAAAATGGACATAACCATGCAAGCTTATTTTTATGATTTCAGTCTGCTGTTGAAAATATATGTATAAAGGTTTATTTAGCACATTTATAAGATACACTACCTTTCAAAAACTTGGAGTCTGTAAGATTTCTTAATGTTTTTTAATTAAGTCTCTTATACTGACAAAGGCTGCAGTCATTTAAAAAAAATACAGTAACTACAGTAATATTGTGAAATATTATTACAATTTAAAATAACTGTTTTCATTTTAAAATATACTTTTTCCTGTGATCAAAGCTGAATTTTCAGCATCATTACTCCAGTCTTCAGTGTCACAGGATCCTTCAGAAATCATTCGAATATTCAGATTTGCTGCTCAAGAAACACTTATTATTATTATTATTATTAATGTTTATAATAATAGTATATTTGTTTAATAATAAACAATAATAACGATCAATTATTTGGTTGTGTTGCTTAAAATTTTTGTGCATTTTATTTCGCGAATCTTCAGCTAATAGAAAGTTCAAAAGAACAACATTTATTTGATATCTTTTGCAACATTTATAAATGTCTTTACTGACATTTTAATCCGTTTAATCTGTCCTGCTGAATTAAATCAATTTCTTAAAAAAAAAAAAAGTTTTCTTCCCCAAACTTTTGAATGGTAGTGTATCTGCAAAGGTGAAGACCTCATCATAACAAAATATGAAAATGGATATTATACTTAAAGAAAATAATATCTTTTAAGTGACTTTTCCGGCCTGTTCCAAGTTTTTAAGAAGTCCTTTTTTGATATCCCACTTCTCTGTCCCCTTTTCACCTGACCGCTAAAGGAAGAAGTGACCCTCGAGGGTGACTAAAATATCACCTGTAGCTCTGTGTTTCATGGTTACCATGAAGCAGTGACAGTAAAGTCTCCCGCTGAGGTCCCTGAGAGGAAGGTTTTTCTCCCTCTACAGCGTCGCATCTCTAGAGAGTCACAGGTGGGGAGACACCAACCAACACAGTGACCGAATGTTACGTTTAGATCAAAACAAAACACCTGTAGCTCTGTGCTATGTTGTAAGAGCTGGAGGTGTGGTAAGGTGTCCCGAGTCCAAATTTTACAGTACACCCTTAAACATAAAGGTTCTTCATTGCCAACTTTGGTTCCATGATGAACCTTTAACATCCATGGAAACTTTCCTTTATTTTTTCACGTTATAGTGTGTACAAAAAAAAAAACCTTGGTAACACTCTACAATAAGGTTCATTAGTTAATATATTAACTAACATGAACTAACCATGAGCAATACATTTGTTACTGTATTTACTAATCTACGCTAATGTTAGTTAATAAAAATACAGATGTTCATGTTAGTTCACAGTGCATTAACTAATGTTAACAAGATTTTAATAATGTATTAGTAAATGTTGAAATTAACATTAACAAAGATTAATAAACGCTGTATAAGTGCAGTTCATTATTAGTTCATGTTAACTAATGTAGTTAACTAATGAACCTTATTGTAAAGTGTTACCATAAACATAAAGGTTCTTCATTGCCAACTTTGGTTCCATGATGAACCTTTAACATCCATGGAAACTTTCCTTTATTTTTTCACTTTATAGTGTGTACAAAAAAAAAAAAAACCTTCTTTAGATTATAAAAATGTTCTTTACACTAAGAAAAAGGGGTTCTCTTAA